TTATATATTTATTATAGCAAGATGATATAATCTTCACGTCTTTAGTAATTTTATAACTAACTATGTACATGTGTGCAGGTGTATCGCACCCCGCTACATAAGCCAGTTGAGTTTGTTGATGCATTTCCACAAGCATTAAGGTCATACATCCATCATGTAAAAGATGTGGTAGCAGATGGACATTGTGGGTACAGAGCTACTGCAGCATTATTAGGTTATGGTGAGGATGGATGGGTACAAGTAAGAGGAGATTTATTGAATGAGCTTGAGACTTATTCAGTTCACTATTCAGCACTTTATGGGTCTGAAAATAGGATCTATGAGCTAAAGCACTCATTAGCGTACTTTGGACCTGATGCAAATTTTGATCGATGGATGACTATGCCTGACATGGGCCATATTATTGCATCATGTTATGATGTTGTACTTGTGCACCTATCTAATGTACAATGTCTAACGTTCTTACCTCTTAGATCAAGACCAGTGCCACTATCAGACTGTAGAGAGATCGCTATCGGATTCATCAATCGTCATTTTGTGCAGGTATTTTATAATCTGAATATAAGTTGTTTATTTCATACATATGTCCTTATATATATTTACACCTTTGTGCAGGTATTCTTGAAGCCAAGTCATCCAATTCCTCCTATAGCAACAAACTGGGACAGATACCGGGAACCATGGACTACAGAATGGGCCACCCCATATATTACTCGCATACAACAATTCATATATATTACAAGGTCTACTGTTATAACTAGAGAAACAATTGCATCTGATGATGATTGAACTTGGCTTTGTACTCTTTGACATTCCCATGTGTTAAGAATGGGTGTTTTATATTTTTTTATTGCAAAGTTCAATAGATTTCTGGTCCTTGGATAACTTTGGAGAAAAAGTTTATTTACAATAGTAGAAAGCTAAGAGCATAAATATGATTATATTCACAGAATTCATATTTACAAAAATAAAAATAAAAATTACAGCAAAAAACAGTTTCAGTTTGTATAGTAAACACGAGAGACAGAGAGAGAGATAGAAAATAAGATACAGCAAAAATGAGAGAGAGATGTGTGGGCCGTCAGAGAGAGAAGAAATGAGTAAAGAGAATAAAGGAGAGAGGAAATGAGGTAATAATTAAAAGGGTATTTTAGGAATATTGGTGGGTGGAAAAATAGAATTGTGTTTTTTAAAATTTATATGGTATGCGGGAAGATAAAGTGGGTGAGAAAATAGGACAGGTGGGTGGAAATAGCAGCACTCAAACTTTAATTTGATAAATGCTAGTAAAACAAATTTCTTTTTACTTCTTGTAATCACCAACAATTATATAACTTCTAAAAGTACTATAAAAAAACACTATTATAGACCTATCTAAGAATTTCATCCAAAAAAGATGGCTCCGAAGGTGGCTTCGCCCTGCCTGAAGTGATTGGCAAGCCACCCTCCAGGACGATCACTAACCCCAGCACCCATTCTGTCAGATTCATCCTTGCAAGCTGCCATCACCATTTAGTTTGTACAATCCTTCTGGAGAAGGATACCGGGCCAAGAAAGGCAGGCACTGTGCACACCAGTGCAGAAACAGTTACTAAAGAGTAGTGATACAATATGAAGGCTAATTTCCTTCACTTGCTTTGCACATATGAAATACTTAATATATAGAAATAACTTCTTACAATTTGTCTAAAAGGAAATCACATATGCTCGAACTGTAGACAATGTTAGCCTATAACTTTTCTTCAGAAATGGCTATTGCCCTTGCTCTATTCCTAGAGCTAGATTATAATTTTGACAGCAACTTAGCATTGAGGATGCTAGGTGTTTATTGTAATCAAAGTGCTAAACTTTGTCAATGCCCCTGAAAGTTTGCATCATTTTGTCATAATAACTGCTACAAAAAGTAAAAATTCTTCGCTGCAGCCTGATACTCGAATCCTTGTACTTCTCTATGCTTGATCACTCTATAATCCGTTGAACCCCACAAGAGGAAGAAAGGGTGGGAGAACAAGAAATAAAACCTAAGAGAAGGCACTTTTATCTAGTGCTCCTAAGTTTCTCTTATATTTGAAGAGTAGCCGCTATAGAACCAGCAAGGCTAAGAACTTCAAACGGTGGATTGTGCATCACATCTTTCACTGTGAGTGGACATGAGTCTGTAATCCAGAAGTAGGTCAGCCCATGCTCAGGGTTCCCTGGTTGGAAAAGGAAAGAAAGAATGCACAGAGGAATTAGAAATCGTACTTGGAGAGTCTCAACCAAGTTAGCACCATGTAGTAGTGAGTTTATTTTTTGTTAAATTATACAAGAGCATGAAAGTTAACTACAAATCAAAAGAATAACGAATAATAAAAACTTCAGAGGAAAAGTAAGTAGAGCACGTAATACCTCCATTATCTCTTTTAAAGCGTTCCCATGATCTATTAGGAAAAATCCCATGTGTTACATAAGCACTGATTTTCGCAGCTCCATGGGCGGCTAAAACTTTCTAAAACAAGTGAGAACGTAACAAGACATTTCAGATTAGTTATAAACAAATGGAAGAACTATTCTCCTCTGTGAAAGTTAGGAGTGTGTAGCAAGAAACAAGCAGAATAAGTCCAATGTCCATCTATTGGTCAAGAAGTTATTTTCCAGATCCAACCCAGTGGACAATTTTATTCTTTACTTTTTGCCAAAAGTGTTGATCATGTTATCAATTGGGCCATATTCTATCTGAATTTCAAGGTTCTGTGTGTTATGACCAGTATTATAGGGTTAAAATGTTGTGCTCAAGGCAGGCACATCAGTCATACACAGTCTTCTTTCATTTTAAGGTTATTAGTATCAGGCAGCAGACAAGAAGTTCACCCAGGATTTTGATACCTGGCATTCGATCAAGGTGCCACCAGATTGAACCAAATCATCAACAATCACAACATGCCGTCCTCTTGGGTCTCCCTCCTTAATACGTACAATTCGTTGGTCACCTTCCCGAACTTTAGCACAGACAATCTGCATTTAATTGTGGCAGGTTATGCAGCCAACAAGAAACATAATTAAATCACGCCTTCATGAAGTAAATATTAAAGTTCATGAAAATGTCAGCGAAGGAGATGACACCACAACATAGTTGAACAAACAGTGTCCAGCTGCACCTCTTACACGAACTATAAGCTTTATGATGAAATCTTAAGGATGGAATTGGAGTATAGAGCATGCAATTTAATACACCCAGCTCATTGACATATCCATCCTATTATATAACTCTGAAGAGTAGTGCACAGGGCTCAATGATCAAATTCTTGTCAAAATACTTAGAACAAACATGAAGACAGGAAGATAATTGTCATGTATATGTGGTTTTGAAGACTCTTAGCTCCAATTAAACACACACACACAAGTAACAGATCCTCCTTGTTACTAGGAAAAGGAAAACAAAATACCGTTGGGAAATGCTGTAGCTGCTTATGAAATCGTTTCCATGCACCATCATCAGGAAAAGCAATGGATATCTGAAATGTGAAAAGAAAATCATCACACAATTTCAGAAATAAAAATTGATTTGAATAATTACTCTTATCAACATCTAAATTCCCAGGACTCAACATCCACAGGGGAAAAGAACTTTACATTGTCAGAATCAGGGAGCTGTTGCAGCCTACTTTTGAGCAAAGGGATCCCACTTTCAAAGCATGGTAAGATATTATCACCAAAGTAAAATCTCTCCTAAACACAAAAGACAATGAAAAAAACACTGTCAGAAAAATCATTGCATATTGCTTACTGATGACTATGAGAAGACACAATTGTATAGTAATGTGGTAGAGAAACCTGCAAGGCATGGATATCATAGATGACTAAACTAGTGGGCCCTCCCATTGAAATGGGTATATTTGACAAGGCCCTGGCAAGTGTGAAAGCGGTGGCAACATCTCCCTCATCCTCCATACGCTCAGAAGTCCCAGTGGGAAAAAAGGGAAGGACGAGCGTGAATGAGGAGATGAACAACTTGGGCAATGCATAGATCACAGAGAGCTGCTCAAAAATCACTGATGGGGAACTAAACGAGGCCAGAAAGGCCACATGGTGTCCTCGAATGCCATGAGCATTGGGTATGAATATGTTGGGAAACCCATCATCAAATTTCCTAAAAGAAACAAAATTTACAAAATTGCATACAAGAGCAATTCAGAAACAATAAAGCTTATGCATTTATAATGAAAATTTACATTTTCCATGGAAAATGCCTAATTACAGGTCACCTCCAATTGATGCTACGGAGCTCAATGGCGTCAGATTGAGCCGCGACTTTCTGAGCGAGCGACTTGGTCTCGGCGCAGTAGAAGAGGCAGACCTTCTTCACTTTCTTTACTGCCGATCCGGAAGCCATTGCCACCTGAGCTTCTGGAGGGTTGTGAAAGAGGTGAATAGGCGTGTCCGGCTCGATGGTCCAATTGTGCGGATTCTCGAAGCTCTTGATCTCGCACCTAATGCCGTTCTGCTTCTTCTTTTTCCTCAAGGTCGAGGCTTTGATTTCAAAAGCGACATAAGAGGGTTTGGGAGGAGATTTCAGTGTGGGTGTGGAGCTAGGGTTTTGGTATGAGGACAGAGGGGCTCGAGTGGCCGCCATGTGGCGGTCACTGGTGTGCTTCGTGTTCCTTCTTTGGTGCCGGGCTGCTAGGTTCCGTGTCTGCGTGATGATGGCTTTGGTTAGTTTACCAGTGTTCGGGCTGTTAGTTTTAGATGTCCGAAAATGCCCATCCCTTTCAAAACGGTGCCGTTCCCTCGTAATTTTCATTTAACAAAAAGTCTTTTTAGTCCCCATATTTTGAAATATTTATTACTTTAGCCTATCTAGTTTCAATTATTTCAATTGTATCCTTTTCATTTTCAATTCGATCAATTTAAGAAGGGTGTCAAATTCCTAAAATTAAAACCACGGGATGAAATTATAAAATGGGCAAACTATATAGACCAAAAGTAAATTGTTGTTTTTTCATTTTTTAATTTTACTTACGAAATAAATCGCCTTTGGCTTTACCTCCTCACTCCACCTTTAACATACCAAAGCCAGAAAAAACCTCAAAAGCCATGACTTACAGTCCGAAGCGAGCCATGGCTGAGCTCAGGCGCAGCATCTCGATGGGGGCTCGAGGCACTTCTTCTCCAATGAAGCGAGATGAAGACTCGTCCCCTTTGATGTCGGACACTCAACCCGTAGACGACGAAGACGGTCGCGGTCGCCACCCCTACAAAGATCGTGACCGTCCTTTCTTCTCCCATTTCCAATCCATCTGTCCGTCCATTGGCGACGATGCTAACAGCTCTAGGATCTTACTGGTCGTGGTCATTGTCGTTGCCCTCCTTGGCTTAGTGTCGATTTTGGCAATCGTGAAACGAGTGGTATTGGTTCTTTTTGTGCTTTTTCTTGTTTGGATTTCTGGTGTCTGGAAATTAGGATAAGATCATATTTTCTTGGAGCTCTGGATTTTTATGTTTGTTAATTGCTTTCATTTTTTGTTGAATTGTATCGCAGAATGCTCCGTACTTGTGTAAAAAAGATGGCATCACTCTTCACTGTCCTCATGTAAGTTTCTGAAGCTGTGTGTTAGGTCAACGTTGAAATGTCTGTAATGAAATTGTGAGATTGTTGAAATTTCAGGTCAAGGAAGCGCCTTCACTTTGGGAGAATCCTTATTCAGCAACCACATCTTGGAAGCCCTGTGCTGAGCGTCGCCTCGGTGGGTTTTCAGGTAAGCTGAGCTCCTCTTTTACTGTTTTAGAAATCTAACTACAATGTTGTTGTGAGCTGTTGTTGCTGCTCCCTTGTAACCTTGTAATCTAGATCTGTTTACTATGTCAAGTTCTAGATTCTATTTTCGTGTTTGAGTTTCTTTTCTAAATTTAGAATCTTTCTTGCTCTATTCAGATCTTCCACCTGAAAATGAAACAACTGGGTACATATTTATCCATGCAGAGGGGGGTCTGAATCAGCAAAGAATTGCGGTATGTTCTGCTCTGTATACTTGTAATCTGATTTAGAAAGTCTTTTCCTTAATTTTTCACCAACTTGTGCACATTATAAGAATGGACAAGTGAAAGTGAAAGAAAACTTCAAGAACCTTCAAGAGAAAGTACAGTATCCATTTTCTCAAATATATAGCCAAAGCTCCTAAGGATTTGCCAGAAAGCCAGCTAAGCCTGTTAGTTAAGTGATGGCTATAGACTGTTACAGATTAGTCACAATTGTTAGCCGTAACAGTTAATCTGTTACAACTTCAACCATAATATGTTTGCCAGCTTGGTGTCCATGCTGGATGGCTTGCTGAAATTGGCAACATCTTGTCTGCTGATGTGGCAGTCACTTGTTCTCCTTGTTTATTAGCTTGTCTCTCTTGCTGAGCTCATGGTTTACAAACAAATATATATAGCAATTTAAACTTATTTTAATTGAGTGATAATGGTGGAGAAATGCACTAGTCTGGTTGGTAAATTCGCATATTAGTATGAGATATTGTTTTTTAAGTGGGTTTTATTAAGTTCACTCTTTGAGAAGTGGATGATTGTGCCTTATCATTGTATGTGAAGTGGCCAGCCATGTATGTACACACATTTACCATTGTGTATATTATTTCATGCAGATATGCAATGCAGTGGCTGTGGCCAAAATAATGAATGCCACCCTTATTTTGCCAGTGCTGAAGCAGGACCAGATTTGGAAAGACCAAACGTGAGATTTACCATTATTTTTATACTTACTGTCACAATAGTGTAATGTTTTAAACGCAGTGTATGTGTAAAGAAGAAGAAGAAAAAAGAGAGAATATCGTTATTCATGTTAATGATCTTCTGTTACAAATCTTGAAAATTTGGATTAATCTCCCTTGTCAACTTAATAGGAACAGAAGTAGCTTCTATGCACTATAAATCTTTTTGCCATTTTAAGGATCACTGAAAAATATGACCATTTGAAACTGCTCCATATGGTACTGTGTTGGGATCTCTTATGCTTGCAATTCTTCATTAAAATATGGCAATGTCTGCAGGAAATTTGAAGATATCTTTGACGTTGATCATTTCATTGATTACCTGAAGGATGATGTACGAATTGTTCGTGATATTCCTGAGTGGTTTACAGACAAAACTGAGCTATTTTCAAGTATAAGGTTAAGTTCGCTCTCTCTGTCTCTATATCTATCCCTCTCTCCCTCCAATCTAGGGAAAACATTTGGATTGTTGATGCAACTTGCAATGATTTGTGGAATTTTTTTCTTTAGACGGACAGTAAAGAACATTCCGAAGTATGCACCGGCACAATTTTACATTGACAATGTTCTGCCTCGAATCAAGGAGAAGAAGATAATGGCCCTAAAACCTTTTGTTGATCGACTAGGGTAAGTCATGAATTTGATATATAGGTGTGCTGTGTGCTGCCCTAAACTTACAAGTGGTTATATCTGTTAGAAAACCGCTGGATAAAAAAGGTTTAAGCTGCTGACAAATGGTGAACAATGTATATCAAGCTAACGATCTGGTTTCAGGTATGACAATGTCCCTCAAGAAATCAACAGGCTAAGGTGCAGGGTGAACTATCATGCTCTTAAGTTTCTTCCTGAAATAGAGCAGATGGCCGATTTATTGGCATCAAGGATGAGAAACCGCACTGGCAGCTCCAATCCTTATATGTATGTAACATTGGCATTAGGAAAGTGAGCTTAACCCTTTCAGGATTTTTTTCAACCTTACTAACAATTCTACACTTAGCAGGGCTCTTCATCTTAGGTTTGAGAAAGGGATGGTAGGTCTATCCTTCTGTGATTTTGTGGGCACAAGGGAAGAGAAAGCTCTAATGGCAAAATACAGAGAAAAAGAATGGCCAAGACGGTACAAGGTAAATAAAATATCTAGGTCAACTTTATGGAGTCAGAACCTTAAAAGAATATTAGTCTTATTTTGTTTCTTCTTTTCTTTTGGTGGTGATTTTGGTATGCAGAATGGTACCCATATATGGCAACTAGCCCTGCAGAAGCGGAAGGAAGGGAGATGTCCCCTGGAGCCTGGGGAAGTGGCTGTCATTCTTCGAGCAATGGGCTATCCTAAGGAGACTCAAATTTATGTTGCTTCCGGACAGGTCTATGGTGGGCACAACAGGATGGCACCACTGAGGAACATGTTCCCAAATCTGGTATGAACTTCTAATTTATTCTAACATAGCTTACTGACTGATCTTATGTCGTGAAGGTGGCTCGTTAATTTTGAACTGTAAAGTAAATTATATCTTAAAACATTATACCATTTCCATTATTTAGAATATTTTACTTGAATGACATGTTGATTTTAGAAATTCTTGTTTGTAATAATTCTAGCTGGGGTTACTTTGGATAACTGTATAATCATTTGAAAGCTGAAACTTAGTGGATCATATGGACACTTCTTCACTTTGAATCCTTGTTTCCCCCTCTTGATGGATAGGTTCATTTTGACTGTTCATAACAGGTAACGAAAGAGGAGTTGGCAACTAAGCAGGAGTTGGATAATTTCAGGAAGCATGTGACTAGCTTGGCAGCACTTGACTTCCTGGTTTGCTTGAAGTCTGATGTATTTGTAATGACCCATGGAGGAAACTTTGCTAAACTGATCATCGGGGCACGCAGGTATATGGGTCATCTTCTTAAATCCATAAAACCAGACAAGGGACTTATGTCTAAATCTTTTGGGGACCCTTACTTGGGATGGGCAACCTTTGCCGAAGACGTTGTTGTCACCCACGAAACACGAACTGGATTACCAGAAGAGACCTTCCCTAACTATGACCTGTGGGAGAACCCCCTGACCCCTTGCATGTGCAAAGCTTGAACAAGGATATCTGATTGAAAAACTCAACACTGATTATTGAGGAGCTTCTCCTACAAAAGCTCGGAGAACATATACCTGTGAGATGAAACTGTGAACTTCTTCTGCCCCAAAAGGCTCGAACGAACGTTGCACGGTGTGATCAAGACAATTAAGGAGGAAAAATTAGGGCATACATCAAACTTTTTGCGGTTTTGTCATGAATGTCAGATAGTTTTCCATGTATCATCAGAATTGTGTAAATTATTAGAGAAACGTGAAAGATGGTTTTCATGTAGTGATTGCTGCTCAAATTATTCCGAGATAGAGGTTCATATAGTGATTGACAGGCACCATTCTTTTAGCAACCTAGCAGCCCAACCCAGTTATTGTATTTTGTTTATCTTAATTACTACATGTTTCGTGCCTAGTCGCGAGGGTCACGTATTAAGCGCCCATTTAAAATATCCTAATATTTCAAATTCTTGGATCTGGATTTAAGCCAAACCAAAAAATATGATTCTCATTGGATTAGCATAACGTGTAAGATCACCTTCACCCAATTAATACGATTAAAACTACTTGTGTTTTAAGTCAAGCCGTTTAACTGATAATGACATGATTTGAAATATTCAATAATCAATTTCATGTGCTGGCTGGGTTGAGAAATTTGATTCGATTAATAATTGTGTCGTGTTTTTTACAGATAGGTGAGACTAGTTGTTTCTCTAAACCACTTAAACAAGAACATTAACTTGAATTACCTCGTCCGAATCGACAGAAAAACAGAACTAAAGACAAAATATCGATCTACATAAACTTTCTTTTTACCCAAAAAAAAAAAAAAGAAAAATCGAAAAACATCTCCTCTAACATTTGGCATTTGGTACCCACCAAACAATAGTATCATAAAAAACCAGATTTTGTTTTTAAATGGTATTTTTCGCATTTCCATATGAGACCAAAAAAGTGGCTATAAAAGAAAATGGCCTAAGCTAAGACAAATTAAGCTAAGCCAGTAACCTGTTTTTAGTGTCACCGTTTATCTTCATTGCCCATTATTTGATTCTTCACCGTATGGTCTAATCTGATTGAATTCCCAAGACTCTCAGAGCTCTGCTCAGCTAGCTTCATCCTTCAGGAATGAAGTTCCTCTTCCTCTTCAGCTTTCTCTGTTTCTTCCTCGGCCTTCTCAGCCAGAGGTAACCATATCTTCATCATCATCTTCTTCGCTTCGCTTTGTCAATTATCACTTGCGACTGAGTTTGGCTCTGTATTGACTGTTGAATATAACCATCATCATCTTCTTCATTAACCCAATATTTGTTTAATTGTTTCCATGAGATTCCACTTCAGAATTGTTAATTGCATGTGATACATTTGTTTATTCATACAATATGCATTTTGTGGCCTTCTGCAGCCTAAAAGCTTGTGTCGTTTGGGTTTCTGAGCTCAAATGCTTGCTCCCCTCGACCTTGTCAAGGGGCATATTACCCAATTTACAAAACTTTATCTGCAAATTTCATGTAACTGGGAATGCTCTGTGTTTTGTACATGTTATCTATTTTGTTTTTATTTCTTTTCTTTTTTGAATTTTCTTTTTGGTGCTAGAATCTCTGGCATGGTTAATACTATTACAAACTGTTTTGTCTAATCAGAACACGTGATTCACTGTTACTAATTGGTCTTAGCATTTCTTGATAGTGATGATACATCTTATTTGATCATCTCAACATTTTTTGGTTTCGTGATGTGAATCATGTGTGCAAATGATTACTGACTTCAGGGTATCATCACAAGACCATGCTAGCACCCCGCCCAGAGGTTGGAACTCATATGACTCCTTTGTCTGGACTATTTCGGAGAAAGAGTTCTTGCAAAGTTCCGACATCATATCTAAGCAGCTTCTTCCTCATGGATATGAGGTATTCATGGAAGATGACAACAATTTGATTTTCTGCATTAATTTATATGTATGTGAGTGTTTTAGTGTAATTCTTTTTCTCTTCAACGCAGTACGTTGTTGTGGATTACCTGTGGTATAGGAGAAAAGTTCCAGGTGCTTACGTCAATTCTCTTGGGTTTGATGTAATTGATGAATGGGGGAGGCCGATACCTGACCCAGATAGGTGGCCTTCCTCCAAAGGTGGGAAAGGGTTCACTGAAGTGGCAACAAAAGTACATAGCCTGGGTTTGAAATTTGGAATTCATGTTATGAGAGGAATAAGTACACAGGCAGTAAATGCGAACACTCCTATCTTGGACACCACGAAGGTATTTCTACTTAATGCCACCACAACTCAACAATCAACTAATTGCACTGAAGCCTACATCCTAGGATCCTACCATGGCTCTCATTTGCATCATCATTAGATGCTTTGGAGGATGCATCACATATTGTAGTTTATCTTTAACAAAGAATCAGAAAGCACACACAGCATGAGATTTTTTATCTTCAAAAGCACAACTGATGTAATGGCAGAAGTTAAAGACTTGGTACTCAGCACTTGAGCTTTTGTTGTTGTTCCTTATCAGGGGACTGCTTATGAAGAGTCTGGAAGAAAATGGACTGCACAAGATATCGGGATCAAGGAAAGAACTTGTGCATGGATGAATAATGGTTTCATGAGTGTGAATACCGAATTGGGTGCCGGAAAGGCCTTCTTGAGGTCACTCTATCAGCAGTATGCTGAATGGGGTGTTGATTTTGGTAACCTGACTCTGATTAATAGCAATTAGTGTGCTTGATACAGTATCATGATTGCATTAGTTATTGACAGCCAACATATCATTGGGATATTTCCCCTGATATTGGCAGCCAAGTCCACACTTTATCCCTTGCTAACTTTGTTATTGGTTGCTTCTCTACCAACTTCCCTTGCAGTGAAAAATGACTGTGTGTTTGGTGAAGACATAGATGTACCCGAAATAAGCTTTGTGTCAGAGGTATAATGCTGCTCCCCTCCTCTCTCTCTCTCTCTCTCTCTCTCTCTCTCTCTCTCTCTCTCTCTCTCTCTCTCTCTCTCTCTCTCTCTCTCTCTCTCTCTCTCTCTCTCTCTCTCTCTCTCTCTCTCTCTCTCTCTCTCTCTCTCTCTCTCTCTCTCTCTCTCTCTCTCTCTCTCTCTCTCTCTCTCTCTCTCTCTCTCTCTCTCTCTCTCTCTCTCTCTCTCTCTCTCTCTCTCTCTCTCTCTCTCTCTCTCTCTCTCTCTCTCTCTCTCTCTCTCTCTCTCTCTCTCTCTCTCTCTCTCTCTCTCTCTCTCTCTCTCTCTCTCTCTCTCTCTCTCTCTCTCTCTCTCTCTCTCTCTCTCTCTCTCTCTCTCTCTCTCTCTCTCTCTCTCTCTCTCTCTCTCTCTCTCTCTCTCTCTCTCTCTCTCTCTCTCTCTCTCTCTCTCTCTCTCTCTCTCTCTCTCTCTCTCTCTCTCTCTCTCTCTCTCTCTCTCTCACTAGTAACTTCAGCAATATTGTGGTGGAGAGTGGGTGCTTATACTTAATAAATAATGCATACTTGCCCAGGTTCTGAAGCAACTTGACCGTCCTATACTGTATTCTCTATCTCCTGGAACCAGAGCAACTCCTACAATGGCCAAGGGTATAAGTGGGTTAGTTAACATGTACCGTATAACTGGAGATGATTGGGATTCATGGGGAGATGTTTTAGCTCATTTTGATGTTTCCAGGTGAGAAACCTGTTTTCATTTTAGTTCAGGGTTTCATTCAGTTAAATTCAACTATTTTTTGTATTCTGTGTTTTTACTGAATGTCATCGTATAACACAATTCAATTCCATATCAGGGATTTTGCTGCTGCTAATATGATAGGAGCAAACGGCTTACTGGGGAAGTCATGGCCTGACTTAGATATGCTACCCCTGGGATGGCTTAGCAATGCAGGTAATTGGACTAGCATTTTTCTTTCCTTTTTATGGCAATGAATATTTTCTTTTCAATATTCTTTAGACAGAGGAATGAGCTCGATTGATCTATGCCTGATAATGGGTTGTCATCACAATGCATTGGAGTTCCAAAACTGTGTCAGTTCAATATCTAGAAGTAGGAACGAGGTTGTCCATCATAAGGCATGGCAGGGCTATTTATGTCCTGGCAACTTTAGAAGTTAATAAATGCACCTTATTAGTTTGAACTGTTTAAATTCAAGTTCTACAGTTGATGGATGAGAACTATAATTTATGTTTCGTGTGTTGAAAATATTAGGTTCAAATGATGGTCCACACAGATATACTAACCTCGGTTTATGGGAGCAAAGAACACAGGTGCTTACATAAGGAGAAGTGAGTGTTTATGTCCTTTTCAATGAGCTGAGCAATCTTCTTGACCTAGTGCATTTATTTTAACAGATGACTTTGTGGTCTATGGCCAAATCTCCTCTCATGTTTGGAGGAGATGTGAGAAAGCTGGATGATACCACATATGGTCTCATCACAAATCCAACCTTGCTGGAGATAAATTCTTTTAGCTCAAATAATAAGGAGGTATGTTGAAATATTTAATTCATAAAATCCTAAGAATAAACTTGGTCCTAGTAGCAACATAAAATCTTCTTTTGTTGCATTTACAGTTTCCATACGTTTCAAGTAATTTGAGTGCAAGGGCTTTTAAAAATGATGATCTGGTACACACCTGGCAAGCAAGAAGACATCTGACAGATGCAAAAAGTTCAGACACACATGTTCTTGGTCTCACTACCTGTGCAGATGTGAAAGCAAAGGGTTGGTCTATTCAAGCTGTTGACCAAGATCCTGAACACATCTGCTGGAAGGAAAACTCAAGGAGCAAACCTCGGGCACCTTTTTGCCTAAACAAGAGAGAATCTCTTTTGGCATTGTAATACTCTTTATCTTTCCCTAATCCATTTGTATTGATCTTATTATGGTTACTTGCACTTTTACAAATGTGATCATTCTTATTTCAATGCCTATATAGAGATGAAGACATAATTGACAAACAGAAATATCAGGGGAAGGTCAATTTATTAGCAAGTGACAAAATGGACCTTTGCTTGCATGCTTCCCCTAAACGAAAGCTTACTTCGAAGGAGCTTAAGAGAGGGTTCTTTTCACCTTGTAGATGGGACGCGAACCAGGTATTTCCAGAGTATACAGAAGTGATATCTTGCATACACCATTGAGAGTTTAATCTGAAAGCATAATCTGACATATGAATAAGGATATCTGCATACACCATAGAGAGTTGTATGGAGCATATTATTCCATGGAGGAATGAATTTTTGCCAGTATTTATCTGATGTATAATCTGACCTGTTTGTTTGTAGACTTGGGCATACAATTCCAAGTCATCACAACTTAACCATATCTATGTTCTCCCTGAGAATGCACTTTTTTCTTTA